TTCATCATAGCCATATAATTGCCAATGCCCTAAAAGTTCATTACACACATCATTGTAAAAATTAATACATTTATCAGTCTGAAAATCAGATGCTTAAAATCTAGATGAGGGGTAGTAGGTTACCTCTTTGCCTTACAGACTACAGTAGGCTTAGTTAAATTTTAATTCGATAATAAATCATTGAATACAAACAAAATTTCTGAGCGAGCGGAAATGGTTTATTAGCCTTTACATTAATTATACTGTCAATATTGTTGTGATAGTATACAAAGTTTAACAGAAAGACCTGACAAATKAAATAACTTTTCTGATCAATAATTATTGAAAATAAATAAATTATAGACTAGTGCTATATATATATTTTTTAAATACTGATATTTTATTGGTAAAAACGTTTATTAAAGTAGGTATCAAAGTTTATACTTTAAATATAAGTAGCGAGTAAAATAGTTTAAACCATAGCAATTTTTTCAAAACATTTTTTAAAGTAAAAAAAGAAAATGAAATGAGTATATTTATTAAATTAGTTGTTGTACCCATTACCTTGATGATTGTTCTCATATATTTAATTAGTATCTATTAACAGTTTAAAATTAATCTAATAAACATGTCAGGCACGTATCTGGGACCTCATCTTGGGGGGGTGATTAATTTTTTTAGGAATACCTAGTCCAAATCCTCTATAATACATTTAAGCCGGTGTGCTCTTACATTAAAAATAATTTGCTGTGCTGTGTATTATATTAGGTACTTGTATATTCAAGTCTTAGTTATAAAAATTGAACATTTAATAATTTAAATGTCAAACGCTATTAAAAAAGAAAAAACTACTGTCACCGTATTTTTGATATTTTTCAAATTCAAAAATAACAATTAAAGAGGTAAMGTATTAGATTTCGAGTTTTTTCATACCTAAAAACTAAAATGTGATCATACTTAGGTAGGTACCTATACTGAAAAAACATTTTAAAATATCAAAAAAAAATAGCCAAATTATAATTTATGACAAACTTWAGATTGTTAAAATATGTCAATATGAATATTTGATAAAAATTATCATAGGTTTTTCTAAAAATTCATGATTTAGCTTAAAGAGGTTTCAAATTAAAATCAATATAAATTAGGTACTAATTAAATGTAAGTATAGCTGGTTACATAATTGAAAAATATTTTCATAAA